AGCACCCATGGGTGCTGAGGGGGCGGGAGCCTCTATTGTTCTGGAGAACAAAAGGCTCCAGCCCCAATTATCAGGAGCAGGAGAGCAGAGGAACCCAGGCGTCCCCAAACACAGCCCTGCCCAGTGCTGGGCCCAGATGCCGGGGCCTTCAGGGAGGGCAGCAGTGGCCAGGGGGCTGGAGCAGGCAGGGAGTAGGGGATGGAGGGATGGAGGGATGGACAGAGAGAGGAAGCTGGGGAGGGATGGAGGGAGAGGTGGAAGGATGGGTGGAAGGAACAGGAGATGGATGGACAGATGGATGGAAGGATGGATGGAAGGAACAGGAGATGGATGGATAAATGGATGGATGGACAGCTGGAAGGAAGGATGGAAGGAAGAGGGGGATGGATGCTTGGAGGACAGATGGAAGGAAGGACAGATGGAAGGATGGAAGGATGGATGGATGGATGGATGGATGATTGGATGGGTGGATGGATGGAAGGCTGGAAGAATGGGCAGAAGGATGGATGAATGGAAGTAACAGGATGGGTGGAAGGACAGATGGCTGGATGGACAGATGAAAGGATGGATGGATAGATGGAAGGATGGAAGACTGGTTGGATGGATGAATGGACAGATGAAAGGATGGGTGGATGGAAGGACAGATGAATGAATGGAAGGAACAGGATGGATGGGCGGATGGAAGGAAGGAGGGATGGATGGACAGAAGGATGGATGGACAGAAGGAACAGGGGATGGATGAATGGAGCATACATGGAGGAATGAAGGTCGGGAGGTGGAGGGATGGATGGTCAGACTGTGGTGGTGGAGGGATGGATGGAAGGAGAGACAGATGGACATATGGATGGATGGACAGATAGGTGGGGATGGATAGATGGCTGGCTGGATGGACAGACAGACGGATGGCTAGACAGATGGCTAGAGGCCCAAACAGGCTGTAGGGCCGCTCCCCTCTACCACTACCGCCCTGCCGGCGCCATCTGGATCCATCCGGCCCCAGATCTTATCTCTGCCCTGGGGCCACGGTGCCCCACAAGCCAAGCCCCCTCCATGGTGGGGCTGGGGGGGCAGGGCCATCGTCCCATTGGTCAGCCTGGCCACCTCAGCCACTACAAAAACCTGGAGCCCTCAGAAGAGCTGCAGCCTGGTGGCCCCGCAATGGTGAGTCCCAGACACCTGGGTTCCCGGTTGGGGTCTGGGTGGTGGAGGAAGGGTGGGACCCGAACACCTGGGTCCCAGGAACGCAGTGCAAGATGGTGGACGGGTGGCCCAAGTGCGTCCCACTCGGGGTCATGGGGGCCATGGGATGGAGTGGGGCAGATTGGGACCCTGGACGCCTGGGCCCCCTGTGAAGCTCTGGGGGTCATGGGGGCTGTGGGATGGAGCAGGGCAGGTAGTACTCCAGACACCTGGGTCCCTTGTCCCATTCTGGGGGTCATGGGGGCTGTGGGATGGAGCAGGGCAGGGTGGGACCCCAGATGCCTGAGTCCCTTGTCTTCATGGTCCCCCCTCCTGTGTGTCACCCAGATGGGGCCTTGCCGGATGTTGCTCCTCCTGGCCTGGTTCACGCTCCAGTGTGGTGAGTCCAGTTTGGCCAAATCCCCCATT